CCGCAGGCAGAGCACCCCATGCCTTAATTACCCTGTGGCTGGAGAGGAATTTAATTGCGCTACACGTAGTCTAAGAGGATGTCCTCTCAAGCTAGTAGTGGTGGCCGGTCCAAAAAAGTCGCCGGATGAGAGGCAACAATTTTGACCCGACAGCATGCGAAACGTCTGGGTTAATTCGCCACATAGTTATCCGTAGTCCAGGGGAAAGAGGCCAAGATTGGACAGCGGAGTTTCGTAAGGTAGGTTGTTTTAATTTCTGACAAGCTTGATTGCCCGTCGTTAGACTGTTTCGAATGTGGTACGGTCTTCAACAGACCAGAGTTTCCAGGCCTAGATGACAAATTTCAACTGTGGACGTACGAATCCCGAAGACCTTGCTAAAGCAGTCTTCGTCGAACTTCGCAAATGCCTGCTTGATGAGATATGAGCGGGACATTATGGATTTCGCTACTTTCAGGCAGTGGAATGATGGCTTTAATGAGGGCGTTATCCATGCAGTTGGATCCTTCTGAACTTCTATCTCTGGTAACGGTGTATGATTAAGATAGTACGTCTTCCGATGCGCAGAGCTGGTTCTGCCAATTCTCAGAATGTTGCATTTGGCAACATTGAACGGGTGGATCCAGTGACCTGACAATTGTTCGAGTCGTTCCAAGTTTGCCTGTACATTTGCTTCATCGTCCTCGTTGCAGATGTCGTTTAAAAGCTTTATGTCGTCAGCAAACATGGCAATATCGCAGTCCAACCCATGGATGCAGTCATAAATATAGATGAGGAAGAGGATAGGGCCGAGAACGGAGCCCTAAGGAACTCCGCTCATAGCTCTCACCTCCGCCAATTGCTGGGCACCAAGAGAGACCATCTGAGATCGACAAATCAAGAAGTTATCGATCTACTTAAAACGATTGCCCCGAACCCCTTTGTGTCTGGGCTTGTATAGAAGACGTTTGCGTGGCACACTGTTGAAGGCCTTCTTGAAGTCTATGTAGACTATATGCACCACGTTTCCTTCATCAGTCGCTCGGGTTCATCGTTCTAAATAGTAGAGTAAATTGGTCAAGCGGAACATTCCTCTGTGGAATCCATGCTGCACATCCGACAATGGATGATGCTGCCCTAAAACCTGCATTAGTTCGCGTTTGATTGTTCGCCCCATGACTTCGCAACATATGGAGGTGATGCTAACAGGTCGCTAGTTATTTGCGGAATCGTGACTGCCACTTTTATGTATCGGTAAAATCCACGCAGTCTTCCACTCAGGAGGCAGTCTGCCTGCATCAAGCGAGGCTTGGAGGAGAAGGCATAGAGGTTCTGCCAATTCTGTGGCTAACACCTTCAACAACTTGGCTGGTATTTCATCAGGATCTGTCGATGTCGCTTCTTTCAGCCTCAGTAATTCTTGTTGAACAATAGCTTTTATGAACACTAATGAGCCAATTTTCAGGATATCGTCCACATCATAGTGATCAGCGGGTTAATCGACTTCCCTCGTAAAAACCGACTGAAAGAATTTGGATAGATGCTCAGTCTTTTCGTCGTCCTTGTAAAGTCCAACGCCATCATCCCTTTTTAACATAGGGATGGGATCCCTGTTGCGAGTACTTTGTCTTATTTAGTTGAAGAAAAACTTTGGGTTTTCCCTGCACACTTTAAAAGGTTACCCTCGAAGTCTTGGCGGGCTTTGTAAACAAGGCCCTTTACCCTATTCCGCTGAGCCTTAAACCTATTCCTTGATTCGATTGTCTTGTCCCTAAAATAAGCCTTCCACCGCTTTTGCTTGCGGTTTACTTCACCCTTTGGTGTGCCCTTCAGCAATCGGGGCATGTTAGTGATTGTCTTTTAAGATACAAGACAGTACCTGGTGGTAATTTCATTCAATACGGCCTTAAGTTCTAAGCAGTCCTTGAGAACACACCCCGTGAATGCTGCTTTACAGTCTCTACGACGCATTTGGCTGAAGTCACCACGCCACATGCTGCGTCTTATCCTGATGCTTTGATCAGGTACAGAGAAGTGAGAAGACCCCCCGCTGTAGGACTATATGGTCGCTTTTTCCAAGAGGGGGTGGACAGTATACGACATCAACGCTTTCAGGTGCCTTTGTCAATACAAGGTCCGAGCGGTTAGCTAGTTGTCCGTTACGTAGTCTGGTAGGAGATAAGACTTGTTGAGTGAGATGCGATCTTTGCACTGCTTGTAGGAGGCAACGATTAAAGTTATATTCTGAGCCTGGGGCAGAAGTCAGATTCCAGTCAATATTCTGAGTGTTAAAGTCTCCCATAATCATGACATTGGGTCGGATAGAAATCGTTTCTAATTCCTCTATTGGACAACTGTCTGATTGCGGGTCGTTTCTCGGTGGTGGTAGACCGTCAGGATCTCGAGAGCTTGTGACCCCGGCGTTCTGATGGTGAGCCAAATTGTTTCACCTGTGCGTACCAGCTGTCCCCTCTTTTCTGACAAAGGCAGGTCATGATTGACATATGTGAGCACACTCCCATCCTGACGTTCAATTTTATCCTTTCTGAACAAGTGGAACAAGTAGTTTTCTTACCAGATCCATCTTGTTAAACATTTCACATGCCGTTTCCCAATCTACATACTTCTCTTCACAATGAACATTAATCTGTTGTCGCTATTTATTTTGATACTAATAACGCCCTCGATAATGTGTCACATAAATGACTTTTGGTTAAATTGAAAGATCTTGATTTCGCAGTCCCCTAATAGACTTTATCAAGTCAAACATGTCTAATCGTAAATAAAAGGTTTCAGTGGGATCCTTACTTTTCATTGTAAGGCCTATTTTAAGTGATGTCCTACAAGGTACCGTTTTAGGTTCTCTTTTGATCCTGCTTTACATAAATGATATCTCGGCGGCAGTTAAATATTCTCAAACATTTTTTTATGCCGATGATCTCAAATGTGTATATTCTTTCAATAAATCTACGAGCCTTCATTGCCCGCAGCAAATCCAAGCTGACCTTCTTACCCTCACAGCTTGTAGCTCAAAACTGCTAATGGAATTCTCGCCGGCTAAATTCGCTATATGTGTTTTGGACCTGAGAGAATACCCAAACCAGTGGTCTTTCAAGACACACCTGTGACTGAATGTACCAACATCAAGGATTTGGGTCTAAGTTACAACAACTATCTTGATTACTCGCCAAACGCTGACAGAAGTACAGCCAAAGCTGCCCAGATTTGTGGCTTTATTTCTCACAAATTCTGTCTTCCCGAAATTAAATTAAGGCTCTATCGTATGTTTGTACTTCCCATTCTCGAGTATTGTTGCCCATTCTTTGGTTTGATGAATGAAGCTAGTCGTTTAAAAATTGCAAATGTCCAAAGACGTTTTTCTAAAAAAAATTAAATAAGGAACATCCCAATATCTCCTACTCAGATAGGTGCCAGCTAATAAACCTAAAATTTTCATGCGTTCAAAGACTAGAAGCAGGCTTCTGTCTCCTCTTTCGCATTAATCATAGTTCAAATTTTCCTCGGATTTCAGCACTCATCCCTAATAGTCGCCCGTACAGTCTACGCAACTCGTCCATGATTATACCTCCTCCAGCGTCCTCCACCTCTAAGCGCTCCTTTTTTCGCTTCCAGGTATACTTTCCTCTGGAATAACCTTCCAATAAATATAAGATCTTCAGAAAATCTACACACCTTTAAGAGAAGGCTACGTCTTCATCTGAATACTGACTCGATTACCTTTTCATTTTTCTCATCCTTCCCAGACAACTTTTTCTTTGACACTGAGAAAGGGCCACCGGGAAATTAGCATGCCGCCATTGAATTTCCGTATATGTTCACATTTCCTTCCTTTGTTAGTAGTCTCGCTTCCTGGGATCCCTCACCAGAAATGTTAATTTTTCCAATTTTTCAGTTCGTGCATCGTGCCCCTCACAGAATGCGCTCTATCGACGTTCTGGTTGAACACTCTATATTCGCCATATACTAGTAGTCTGGTCGCATTCTCCTTTGCCTCATCCTCGAATGGACTCGGTTGAATGTAACCGACCGCATCTGGGTTCTTATCGCCTCGAGACTGGTTCTCATCGTGCCCTCACAGAATGCGCTCCATCGACGCTCTTGGTGAAGCCTTCTGTATTCGCCATATACTAGTAGTCTGGTCGCATCTCCCTTGCCCCATCCTCAGATGGACTCGGTTGAATGTACCAACCGCATCTGGGTCCCTACCACCACGAGACTGGTTTTCAATTTCGCCACTTATCTGCCTTATTCAAGGCCACATACAGGCCAGTCCTGACCGACCCGCCTACTTACCCCTTCATGAAATCCGTTATACAATGCCATATACAGCTGACATTTATTTCGGCCCTGTTGATGTCCGACTGTAATCCATTATATACCGCCACATGCAGGCCAGTCCTGCCCGCATTTTTCTGTTTCTATTTTTTCGAGGGGTTTTCTTCTCCTGTAAAATTAATCCAATCATTTTTACATTTTTGTATGGAGTTTTTTTCACCCCTCGCTTATCATTTTTCTCAACGGACTTCTAATCTCAAAAACTATGTCTTGCACTTTGTACATATTTTGCCTACCTCGTCTAAACTTCGCATGTAAATTTATTTTTACTTGCTTTGATGGGACCCCGACGGGTCTTTAATAAAAATAATTAAATTAAATTAAAGTGCGCTTAGTCGTCGACCTCACTCTCCATTCCCACTCCCACACCCCAGCCGCTGTCCGAGCCGGTCAGCAGACTGGAGTGAAGAACGGGCGCGGTGGCTGGCACGGTCGACTGACCATGCCTGCGTGCGCCACGTGCACGACCCGGCCCCCCATACACACACATACACACCAAGATTTCACACAACTGAGGTTGAACGGCGTGTCTCTCACTAGCGTGAGAGGGCCGTGGAAGGTGCTGCTTCAGCCCGTCCCCAGCCCACCAGTCCGCCACTCCACACATCACACAAACAGCGCGACGAACTGCGTGGACCGAGTGAGGACGTCAATCATCAACCTTCCTATCCACGACGCTTGACGTGTCGGGATAGTCTCGGACTCAAGTCATCCGTGCAGCCAAAACCGCATGGGGACCCAGTCGAGATGTACACTTCCCACGTGCGTAGGAGGTTGCAGTTGGGTGCTTGCGGTGGGTGAATGTTGATGTTTGGTGGGTGATGGTGTTGTAGGAGGTAAGGAGTGTATGAATGTGTGGTGTAGCCGGCAGTTGTCGAGCGCAGGTCGTCGTGGATGCGCATGTGACCGAATAGACCCATGCGATGCGTGAAGGTGCGAGGGCAGTGTGGGCAGTGAGCTTGGTGGGTATAGGTTGATGCTCCGGGCACTGGTTCGCCAGTCTCTGTGCGATGGATTCGCAAGTGACCGACCAGGCCGATGTGTGAGGTGAAGGTGCGGTCGCAGTGAGGGCAGGTGTAGTCCTGATCCTCATCGCTGGAGTTAGAGGAAATGGGGGTGGTTTCGGTTGTTGTGTCATGGTTGGTGATGTGCAAGACGCCCGCCTGAGCGGCCGTCGTTGGGACAGTGGTTGAGGAGGAGGAGGAGGAGGATGATGGAAGCGGTGGTTCAGAAGAATTATCAGAGTTAATTGGCGGCAGAGATGACTAGGAAGAGGAGGATATGGGACGCTGTTTGGTGCAGTTCGAGAGGCGCAGTTGATCCGAAGATGTCCAACAAGTTCGATCCGAGCTCGGAATGTCCGTTGACATCGATGACACGTTGGGAGGGGTTGTGCGTCGGCGTTGCGTACTGAACGAAGTTGTGATTTGCGGGCTTCGCGTTTCACGTTGGCGGCGGCGATGCGGTTGGCTTCGTAGATAGCAGCGTCCGCTTTCACTGTCCTCCTCCAGGTCTGTCGGTCGAGTGCGAGCTCCTCCCCGTTGGTAGGGTTGATTTGCAGACGCTTCAGGGAGGACTTCAGTGTATCCTTGTATCGGCGAATCTGATCTTGACGGCGAGAACCTGTCGCAACGTCTCCGTAGAAGAGCGTTTGGGTAGTGGCTCGTCGTCCATGCGCACCAGGTGGCCGCTCCAGCGCAGATGCAGTTGTCTCAGCATGGTGTAGATGCTGAGGATTCCCCTCCGTTCCAGCACATCAGTGTCGGGGGTGCGATCCTGCTAGTTCAGACTCAGGATACGACGGAGAAAACTGAGGTGGAAGTGGTTCAGTCGGCGTGCCTGCTTTATGTACATTATAAAAGTCTCCACTCCGCACAGCAGCGTCGGCAGGATGACAGCCGTGTACATCTTTAGCTTCGTGCTCAGTTGGAGACCGTGACGATTCCAACCTGTGCTTTGGAGGAGACCGAAGGCTTGACTGGTTTTCGAGATCCTGTTGGCGATTTCATCATCGATCTTGCTGTTGCGGGAGAGGGTACTGCCCAGGTACGGGAAGGTCCCCACCACTTGCAGTTGCGATCCGTTCACGCTGATTTGTGGAGCGTTGGTGGGAGTGGCGGTGTTGGGTGGCGGTTAATGCATGACGACCGTCCACTGCGTACTGATGACCAAACCAAAGTTCTCGCAGGCGGCGTAGAAGAGGTCCATATTCCTTTGCATGTCCTCTTCCGAGGTGGTGTTCAGGGCGCAGTCGTCGGCGAAGAGAAGTTCGTGAACAGTGGTTGTGGATACGAGCGATTGGAAGTGCATCCACCGTCGATTGAGGAGGTGGCCGTCCGTCCTGTAGGCGATGCGTATCCAGGGGTGCTCATCACGGTAGGCGTCCATCAGCATGCAGAGAACATAAGACTGAAGAGGGTAGGCGCCAGTACGCATCCCTGCTTCACTCCGTTGGTCACTGCGAATGCCTCTGAGGCAGCTCCGTTGTCCGTGACTCGCGCCATCATACTGTCGTGCAGCTGAGGCACCATCTGGATGAATCGTTCCGGACAGCCAAATTTCTGCATGAGTTTCCACATTCCTTCACTATTCACCGTATCGAAGGCTTTCGTCAGGTCAACGAAGGTAGAGTACAGGTGGGTCCGCAAATCCTGGCACATTGATGGGACCCCGACGGGTCTTTAATAAAAATTATCTATCTATCTATCTATTCTCCTGGAGTTTACGGGCGGCGAAGATCATATCCGTGGTCCCGCGATGACGACGGAAGCCGCATTGGGTTTCCGGCAGAAGGCCCTGTTCCAGATGATTATTCAGACGTTTGAGGAGGATGCGAGCGAAGATCTTCCCGGCGATGTTCAGCAAGGAGATTCCACGGTGATTGTCACAGACTTGACGGTCCCCTTTTCGCTTGTAGATATGTACGATGGTTGCGCCTTTGAAGTCTTGCGGGACTTCACCTTGACGTCTCATCTCCTGGAAGAGCGCAGTCGGGTGATCCATGAGTTGGGGACCTCCGTGCTTGTAGACCTCAGCAGGGATTGCGTCCGATCCGGGTGCTTTACCGCTGGAAAGCTGCCGCACGGCCCTGATGGTTTCCTGGAGAGATGGCGGAAGGTCGAGGTCCGCGTTGGTCTCCACTTGCGGCAAGCGGGTGATGATGGTGTCGGAGATGGTGGAGGGGCGCTTGAGGACGCCTCGGATATGCTCGGCCTATCGCTGTAGAATTTGTGTCTTCTCAGTCAGGAGGGTACCGCCGTCGGCGCTGAGGAGAGGAGCAGTGCCATTCGTCGGTGGACGGTAGGTTGCTTTGATCGCGGAGAAGGAGTTCTTCCACTCGTTGCGGTCCGCTTAGCATTGGATCTCCTGAGCTTTGCGGGCAGTCCAGGTGTCCTGCATCTCGCGCAGTCGTTGTTGAAGGTGGCGGCGACTACGGAAGAAAGCAGCTCTGTTGTCGTCAGTGGGGTGATCTACGTAGGCTTTGTGGAGTCTGTTCTTCTCGGCGAGCAGTTTGCTGATGGCGGCGTCGTACTCGTCGAAACAGTCCTAGTGTTGGCGGCGGGCGCGGCCGAGGACGGCTAGCGCCGTCGACTGGATCGTGTCCCGCAGTTGACACCAGCGGTCCTCCAAGGAGGCGTTCTCGGCAGCGGCGGCGTCGGCAGCGAGAGGAAGGTTGTCTAGCCGTTGAGCTAGCTCATTGCTGAAATGAAGATATTCAGTCGGGCAAAGACAACAAGGCAGTTTTCAGCTTACCTGGGGGTCGCTTAACTTGTGGTTTCCGGCGAGGCTGAAGGCGAACACGCATCTTCAAGATGACAAGGCGATGGTTAATCCACCCGTCAGCACCCGCAATCGCCTTCGTCACCAGCACGTCCCGCTGATTCCGCCTGCGGACGAGGGCATAGTCCAGCAGATGCCACTGACGCGACCGAGGATGCCTACAGGTGGCCTTCTCTCGCTCCGGCAGACAAAGAAGGTGTTCGTCAGGATGAGGCGGTGTTCTGCGCAGGTGCGGAGGAGCACTAGGCCATTGTCGTTGGAGCCGCGGAGACCATGGGGACCAAGCACTCCTCTCCAGGCAGTATGGTCTGTGCCGACGTGGGCGTTGAAGTCACCAAGGACAATCAACTTGTCCGCATTCGACACAGTCGCCAAGAGGGCGTGCAGGTCCTCGTAGAATTTGTCTCTTGCGGCGGCGGCGGCGGCGGCGTCGGGGCTGCTGAGCGGCGGAGCGTAGACGCTGATGATGGTGGCGATTTTGCCTCCACGCCGGAGAGGCAGACGGAGGCTCATCAGGCGATCGTTGATGCCCTGCGGCAAACAGGGCAGTCGTCCCACGATGTCGTTCCGGATAGCGAAGGCGATACTCGCGTCTCGTCGCTCTGCCCTAGACCGACCACTCCAGAAGAAGGTGCAGCCGAAACCCATATCCTCCAGTTGGCCTTGTTCGGAGAATCGGGTCTCGCTGAGTGCGGCAATGTCCACCTTGTAGCGCGCCAGTTCCCCCGCCACTAGCACTGTCCTCCGTTCCGGTCGGTTGCTCCTTGGAGTGGCTAAAAGGGGACGAACATGTAGCAGTTCGCGTCTCCTCGCTCTCCGCCTTTGTCACGCTGCCCTCCTGTCCGCCTCACACTCCTTGTCGATGCGCTGATGGGGTGCGCGAGTGCTCGAAGCCAATCAACGCTGTCCCCACTCTGATTGGCTGGCGAGGTTGAGACAACGAAGGGCGCACACACACGCGGACACAACACCTCGAGGGCGGAGGCAGACAACAGCTGGCTTGGAGCGCGCTTGCGGCGACTGCCCACACAGCCTTTGTGTACACGCTTTCCAAGCAGTAAAGTTTGTCCAACTCAAACCGTCTTCCCTGACTTTTGATTGGGAATCTTTATCGTGTCGACCACACAACTTTCGACAATTGGTGACCCCTTGCGAACAGCAACCCTTCTCCCTAATCTACGATAAAGTCAGGTGTTGATCATGGACATTTTTCCACCGGAAGTGCAGCATATTTTGGCACCCGCCTTCGGCATTCTTTCGGCCACGCAACTTACTCAAATGGCCGATCGGCTTATGGAGATGCACGGTTTTTCCAAGCCATCTATTTCATCACTCTCAACTCCCTCAACTCCTCCTGCGTCTCCCGTTTCGCAGTTGGAGATCCAGCTCAACAAGCTGGCCGATGATATAGCCGCTCTCCAGAAGCCCACAGTTTCTGCCTCATCTCGGAGCCAACCGCAGCCGTCCACCCCGCATGTCCAGTCTTCACATTCAGCCCGTTCAAATGCAGCTGCCACCTGCTGGTACCACACCACCTTCGGTGCTAAAGCCCGTCGCTGCATCTGTCCTTGCTCCTTCACTTCCAAGCAGAGCAAACGGATTAAACCGGTCAACCCGAAGGTCAGTGCAAGCAATCTTTCCGACAGCTCTAACCCTGGTCGCACATTTTACGTCCGCGACACCCGGAGTGGCAGACGTTTCTTGGTTGACACTGGTGCCCAGCTAAGTGTCATTCCACCCACACCAGCTGATCGTCG